TAGAATATGATTATGGACTAAAATTGTCCAAGTTGTTCCCCTTTAGGGTTTAAAAAATTGCATATACTTCCCATGCAGATTCCTCGTTTTCCACTGCATCATTTGGATATGCCAAAATAACACGTGTTTAGCTATAAGACATCAAAGAGACTAGTCTAAAGAAGTAAGATGGGAACACCACCAAATAAATATACCATACAGTAAAATATACATTTCAAAAGAATATACAGACTTTAATTTGTTCTTTGCTTTAAGGAAAAATAAACACATAGCTCAAAGTATGTCATAAGAGGTTATTAATTGTATGGACCTAACTTGAAACAGATTAAACAAGAATTATGATCCTTATTTGTAAGCACCTAAGTGCATACTTACATTAGGGATAACACCTACACTTATGCTAAACACATGCTTGAGTGCTTTGTTGAATCAGAGCCTCAGAGACTTATTAATGAAAAAAGCAATAATATCCAGTTTTTATTAAAACCTTCTGAATCTTTCAAAATGGAACTGCGTATTTTTAGTTGAGTAAATTGCCTCAAGGTGGGCATCCAAATATGAAGACACACAGGGACAAACATTCATTTGGCATAATGTTAAAATATGCCAATTTTTCAAAAGTGGTTGACTGCTGTTTCAGGATTTCTTAAGTTTTGGATGCTCAGCATCAGGCATCTCAAATTGACCATCCAAATTCTGTGCCCACTTTTGAAAATTTGACCTTATAATTAGGGCTGTGAAGCAATTAAAAAATTTAATCATGATTAATCACGCAATTAATTGCGTGTTCTGCCCCTTTGAAATGCTGCAGCGGCATTTCAAAGGGGCAGCACTGCAGAAGCCCGGAATCAGCTAGAGTCCTCAGTTGACCCCAGGCTCAGTGAAGGCTGCCTTTTTGAAATGCAGAGGTGGTGATATAAAGGGGCAGCACCACAGCAGCCCAGGATCAGCTGGAGTCCCCATTTGGGACCATTGGAAATGCCAGACCACCACTACAAAGGGGCAGCATAATGCAGAGCCAGGAATCAGCTGGGCACTGACACTGATCCCGGGGTTCCATGATGCAATGCCCCTTTGAAGTGCCATTCCAGTGCTTCAAAGGGGCAGCGCATTAGGAGCCTAGGATCAGCTGGGAATCCTAGCTGATCCCCAGCTTCTAGTGTGCTGCCCCTTTGAAGCACCGGAGCAGCACTTCAAAAGGTCAGCGCAGCATTAACGCCTGCGATTAACATGTTAAAAAAATTAATGCATTAATCCTGCCTTGCGTTAATCGCAGGGATTAACACTATTCAATTGACAGCCCTACATGTAATCCTCACCAACAAACCATTTATCAATTGACAGCCCTACATGTAATCCTCACCAAGGAACTCCAAGGAAAAAGCTTCATATTATTTTGCAACCATCTTTCATCTGACACTACTTCACATGACTAGCTTGCAAAGTGATTACTTGATGAGCGGTAGCAGATGACTGTCCCCAAAAGACAGATGTTTGTACAGGGGTTTATCATCTCCATATGAATGGTCCCAAATATCAGCCTCTTAAGACAAAGAGATGCTCCAAGGGTGCAGCTTCTGCTGTATCCACAATTCTTCCAAAATAGAGCACAAAGAAGTCACCACTAGATAAAATGATGTTGGAGTTGGAAGGTTTGGATAATAAGCTGACAAGAAGAACCTTGCTTAAACTCAAACCAAGCCCAAATTGCCCTTATTCTGAAGGCTGAAAAAGCCTGGAGTTTTCGTTATGCTGTTTAAGCTATTTCTGACCCAATGAGAAGCAAAAAATAGCAGAAATATCAGTACTCAGTCTCATTGTTTCCAGTCCTGTTTGATATAATCAAAGGGTGTGGGGGATCAGAAAAAGTTCAAA